TATGCAATATTTATTGTATGTGCATCTCTACATGAACTAAATTAACAAAGCAGGAACACAATAGAAATAATTAATATGTGTAACTATCACTATAATAACGATATACCGATACGTATAGATTAATCGTTGTGTTAAAATTAAATTACTGTTACTCCTTATCGTTATTATTATCGTTATCGTTATTATTATCGTTATTGCCGATCAACTTTGCCACATGGTTGTAAGATCACCATATCGGATTCTATCGCTGTCGCTATATATAAATTCTCGACCGGAACCACTCATTTTCGTTTCCGTTGTTTTTCCTAATATTGTTTGATTATACAGGATTAAATTGCTATATAAACAATAGAAACGAATAATTAAAAATATAATAATAAATACAATTTCTCAAACCGCCAAAATTTCTCTACTACGAAGAAAATCAAAAAAAAATGTCGTATTCTTTATACAACGAAAGCAAAACACACGGTCCGCTAAACGAATTAGCAAAACTGTTTCTACAGACGATAGACCGTGGAACCAATTTAGCGAAGATAAAAAACGAAATAAGAGAACATGTGAAAACAAGAAATAATCTTGAGCCATCGCAAATGTTGGAAAACTTGAATAGGCCCAGATATCAGCGACAATTTCGATGTTTATTAGGCTATTGCTATGAGACGGGTGCATTGGGTGCTAAAGTTAATTTACGAAAATCTGTGCATGAATATAAAACCGCTGCTGATAATGAATATGCTTATGGACAATTTTTACTGGGAAAATGGTAATCTATTTGATTGATTGATTGATTTCTTTCTTTATGGATTTTATTTAACGAATACGTAAATTTAATCGTTCTAGTTATGAAAATGGTGTCGGCGTCGAAAAAAATCCATCACACGCATTTCGTTTATATGATAAAGCAGCTAAAGCAGGCAATACAGCAGCACAATTCGCTGTCGCTTGCTGCTATCGATCCAAATTAGGCACTGAAAAAGACGACACCAAAGCATTTTACTGGACTCAGAAAGCTGCCGAAAGCGGACACGTGATTGCACAATGTCGACTTGGTTATTTCTACGATGAAGCAATCGGCACAATAAAAGATAAATCAAAAGCATTCTTTTGGTACAAAAAAGCAGCGGAAGCTGGGGAAGTCTTTGCTCAAGCCACGGTTGGTTACTGTTATGAATTCGGTTCGGGTACCGCTCGAAATCAAGTCAACGCTTTTTATTGGTATCAAAAATCGGCAGAAGCGGGTCTTGTTAGTGCTCAATTTAACCTCGCGAAGTGTTTTGAGGAGGGAAAAGGAACGAATAAAGATGGCGAGAAAGCTTTTCAATGGTATAAGAAAGCTGTTGAAAATGAGTATGCACCGGCAAAAGTTAACCTTGGCCATTGTTATCGTACGGGACTGGGAACCGCTAAGGATCCGGTAAAAGCGTTTTATTGGTACCAACAGGCGGCTGATAATGGACGTCCGATTGCACAATATAATCTTGGAAATTGTTATCAGAACGGGATCGGTACTAAGATCAATTTGGAATTAGCTAAAAAATGGTATCGTAAAGCAGCAAAAAACGGTCATGAGAATGCGATAAAAGAATTGGAAAGATGTTCTAACGCTAAAGAAGAACCAATGAGTGCTTAAAGGTGATGATTATCCTATTCTTTTTTAATAATCGGGTTTGCTATTTTCCCAACAGTGCGAATAAATCATTAAGACATTTGTAATTAGTCGTCTACTTTTGTTAAACAGTTAATAATTATTAATTTTTTTACTTAGCAAATTATTCTTTTTAATTTTTTACATTGTATATATTTCGTTTGTTAAACATTACTGATGTCATATTGTCCCCGTGGGCTGTGCGTTTTAATCACATGATAAATTCAATTAAATCTTGCACAGTAATTAATTGCATACGTATGAAATGGAATTTTCTCCATTTCATTGTAATAAAAGCCGCCGTGAAAACTTATTAATTACCATGTAACGTATAACGAAATAATTTTTCTGGAACGAAGAACGCTGCTAACATGGGACGGGTTTTATCATGATCGTATTATTTTCTATAGCTACATGAGCGTATTGTATCATATGTGATATCGTTAGATATTTTGTTTTATCAACTGGATATTGAATTGAATAAAGGCTTAAAGTTTTCATTACTCGTTTACTTGACAAAGGAACGCAGCCGAGGACCAAATGAATTGATCGGTGGAGATTATTTTTAATATTAATTTAAATTATCAACTGTATATGCTAAAGGTGTATTAAATAAATTGCATATTATATATACAGTATATTCGAACAATTACCACAATTTTGTATTATGGTAAAGGCGAGGCGTAATCGAAGTGGATATGGTAAGCAGCAATTACAATAGCAACGATTGTAAATAATGCACTGAGAGGTTAAAGCTGAATGTGTTATTTGAAAAATCATAGCAAGATTAAATCGCTTTAATTTCATTTGCTTGCTTTTGAGATTCTCAGATCTTTGAAACTTAAATCTCCGAATTCGTGAGAACATTTGATAATTACGAATTGTTTCATTTTCTAACGAGATGAGGTCTCATAATACAGTATTGAATTCAAAGAAACAACTCCAAAGACGCCGAGACAGATGACATACACACGAAAAGAAAAATTTACTTTTTCGGCTTATCGTTAATTCGTTTAAAATATTCAACGATTTGAAATAATACAATTTTCCAAAAAAATTGACTTGGATATTCCGTCGATTCATATTGAGGGCAAATTGCCAAACAATAGCATAGCAATAATTCAACTTCTCATATTGTTTGTTGCCAGAGTTGCTCTGTTCTTAAAGACTTGATAATAATAATCGATGAAAAAAGGTTATGTCCCCGCACAGACAGACATTAATCCACGTGTTTTGTACTTTGTGTTTTAATGCATGTGCGTTCTGTATACATGTACAGTCAATAAGAAAACAAAGATCAATAATAATCAATAATAAACGTAAAGGGTAAAAATAGCATATACATGTACATATATCATGTAAAGCAGAAATTACGTTTCTAGATTGGGGTAATAGCTATTCTAATAACATAGAACATTCGGCGACAATATCAAATTTCAATATATTATGAGTATGACAAATTTATCAAGGGCGCTAACAATTACCTCCATAATAAAGTGTTTTTTCTATTAAAGCTACTCTAATGACAGAACCAATCAATTTGGATCTGATCATGATCACACGCACACAAACGCGCTAAAAACATCAGGTTCCCAAAAATATTTTTTAATTATCTAAAGACGGATAAAGATATTTGTGCGCTCTTGTACGTATTTTGGATAAAGGGGTAACTCGGTTTCCGGTTTTAATATAAACACCAGCAGGATGCAAAGGTATTGTGCATAAATTGTTGACAGAGATAAGTTCTCAGAAAAGATTTAAGAATACCTTTTTCTTTGACTTGTATAGTAATATCACTCATTAAGAATACTTAAGCAATCATTATTGATCCTTTTTTCATTAAGTTTAACTAGGCAAACAGATATACTTTTTCATAGGCAGTTTTCTTTATCTCAATAAAAATGCCAATACCAAAAAGAACGCTTCTACCAAATAATCCACCACGAAAAGAAAATGACAAAATAACAAAAATGATCGAAAATGTGCAAAAAGCATTCCCAGACATAAAGACCACGCTCGAGATTCGTGAACTAATTGAGCCCGCAGCGCAAACTCGTGCCAAAGGAACACCAAGGCCACAAAATTGTTTCATGTTATATCGTAAAGAGATATCTGCAAAAGCAAGGTATACCGGTGAATCTCAATCAGTGGGTGCTTCTTCAAAAACGGCATCAGAGACATGGTCAGAAGTTTCTACAAGAGAAAAAAATTTTTGGCAGGCGTTATTTGAGATTGTCAAAGAACAACATCGTATTCGCTATCCCAATTACAAGTATCAACCTGTTAGAGTCAAAAAACAGCATAAAGAGAATAATACAAAAACATCAATTGATAAGGCTATAAATAATATCAACAACAATAACAATAATCATAAGAATACTATTAACATCAATGACAGTTTTATCTTTCCAAAGGAGCAAACACACATTATCCAAAACGAACATAAACAACAACAACAGCAAGAGTCTAAACCAAATTTTCAATGTCAATTGTCATATTACGCACAAGTGGATTCTTCGACAGGAATGAGCGATGTCGAGTCATCATCCGGTTCATCAAATGAATCGTCTTCATTTCATTCGACCGAAACGAGCATACACGATTCATTCGATAATTTTTCAAGACTCCCGCATACTTACTATGCCCTGAACAATGATAATTCAACAGAAATTAATGGAAATAATTTTGAGCAATCTTATGCATGCTTAAGTTCAATCACTCCATCTCATGATGCTACTACATCAGAGTATCAATATATTCACGACAGTAATCAATATACCTTGGATGATTACGGCCAGCGTCAAGAACTAAAGCAAAAAAATAATTATCATAATTTGCCCGAAGAGATCTTATCCAATTATTTTTTTGAGGCAGAAGGAAAAAAAGAATCTCGATTATCTTTGCCAATGCAACCTTTCCCGCAGCATTATCTTAATTATCCTGTTTATCCTGCACAGACATCATATTTTATACCCCTCGAAATGATTTACAATGGACAGCTATCATCACGATCAGATCAAAGACTATTTTTTCCGACATCTCAGCAATATGATAGTCCCATTGCTCCAAATCACAAAACACAAGTGACAGCAACAACCGAATTATCAGTTCAACTACCGTATCATTTTTCACCATATCAAATGACAATAGACGAAATACAACAAAGACAACTCCATGATGATTCCAATACCAAGCAAAATAACGATAGCACTAACAAATAAATTCGAAAACTTCGGCTCTTAATAAGTTTTTTGTCGTCAATATCTTACAATTTGACGAAGAAGCAAGTAACTTGTCTGAAAACGGGTGCAGTGACGATTGTTCATCTTTATCGTTATGTATTTCATCAATAGTAATTGTTTATGTTACCCCCGCCTCGTGGGAAAATCATAATTTGTATTTATCGTTATTTGGATATATGTTTTTGTATTGCCATTACGTACGTAGTCACCATTTAATAATATATTCATTTATATACGTATGTGTTTAATGAATTATTACGTCACCAATGCATAATAATGTAAGATAAAATTAATTTATCTTCGCACTATCACTATATTTCACTTGAATTATTAATATTTAATAAAGCTTATGCAGTTCCCTTCTTTTGAATACGTATTCTGATCATAGAACAAAAAGAAATGATTGTTTCCTTGAATTTATTACATCGCTGTGCAACAGCAACCCAACCAAGGAGTAAAAAAGTTGATCAACCACTATCTAACGCTAATAATAGCCGTGGATTCAGAATGGGTCTCGTCAATAGAGTCCACATGATGAAGACATGAATCAAAAGCTGACAATTGATAGTTGAGTCGCCACAGAATCAAGGAAAATTCGAGAAATCATACTAATACTGCAAACGAAGATTCAAATTCATTCAAAAAACTTTAATTGTTTACAGTAGCCTTTGGAATGATTAGGAATTTTTTTTAAGAACCATTCAAGGAATTACTCCAAATGCAAAAATACTCAAATTTCTGATCCTAAAAAATTTCGTGTTTCTGACCAGTATCTCCATAAAAAATTTCACCCCAAGAAAATAAAAATGCAAAAATCTGAAAAATACAGGAAACAGGTAGGAATGTTATTGATCATAGATAAACCGGTTCAGCGTCAGTTCTATAACCGAACCGATTGAATCGGCTTAAATTAGGTTAAATCAATTTAATTAAACATTAATTAATTTTTAATTGTGGCTAATTTTAATTAATTGCGTAATTTAGAAACAAACACATACATAATATTATAAAACGAAAAGTGTCTTTTGTACTACATGTATACGAAACTATTTCTTTATACAAAGCTATTTCTTTATGGATAGTTCAAAGTTTATTGAAAACGAAGTATTTGATTTAGAAAGCATAGAATAATTTAATGATATGTTTCAACCTTGAAACTGAACTTGCAAGTTCATCTACTATATCCGAAAGTGAATTAACTATTAATAAAAATCACAATCAAACATCGCTTGTTTGGAATTATATGAATAAAAAATACAATGAAAACATGAAATAGAAGCTATTATTTGGAATCCGTGTCAAAACACATTTAGCAAAAAAAGCATCAATCCGTCCTCTTATGATCACCTTAAAAATCGACATCATACATGTATAACTAAAATGAACAAAAGCGATATGTATGTTCCACTTTTTCCATCCAATTAAATTCACGCATGTGATTGATCAACAACCAGTTCAAACCACCAACCGGGATTTTTTAACTGAACTAAACCGAGTCGAACCAATAACATCCCTAAAAATCAGTAATTTACCGTTACCGTTACATCTAACGATAATATTAATATCCACACATGTTAACGTTGATTTTTCTGTGATCACGTTGGGTAAAAAACCAAACTTTTTATTGTAATTTATTTGGAACATGGAAAATCCCAACAATTTTATACGAAACAGAACTACGGTCGCAACCTCTCTAAGTGCACCCCGTAAAAAAAGACAAAATGCGCATTTAGGAAGAGTGTGCATTATAGAGGATGGGACTGAGTTATAGCATGCATTTAGAGTAAGTGTATATTGTGTGTGGATTTCTAGAGGGTGTAACGGTATTTGAAATATTATTCTTTATAAAACAAATAAATTTTTCAACATTCCAAAGTTTTTTATTTTATTGATTTTAATTTAAAATTTTCCTCGTAATTTGAACCTATTATAATTAGGTATCTCATATTCTTTACAGTAAAATACGGTAGCAAAAGTACTCGTATATAAATCACATTTCTATTTCCTGTTTATATTATTGATATCTGTAAATTGTTTCAGCTGAAATTCACGTAATGCAAAAAGTTCATTTAAATGCATAATGCTCAATCTCTATTCAGATTACAGCCACACCCCCATATAATTACACCATTTTTTGAAGAATTGTGTAAAATTTCGGAAGCTTACAAAAGTTGTGACTATAAAGAGTTTTATAAGATGTGATTATATGGAAGCGGACTGTAAATACGGGTTCTTTTTCCGAAAAGAAAATCACTTATAATGATTTGACTATATTGTCTATGGTCAGTGGGACAATTTAGGAATTTAGGGCTTAAAAGGCTAAATTATTATAGGCTAAACCATTAAATAAGTTAAACTAATTTAGGACTACTAAAATCTATAAAAAAATTTGGGCTTGGGCTAAATAATTAGCTAGAATCACTAATGGTCAGTGTAACTTTTATTCCAAGACCAAATTTACTCAAAGATATGTCACTTAGTTTTTTTTCCGTACCAATCAACCGGAAAGTCGCCAATAGTAAATATTTTTGTGCATGTATTTTGTCTCGGTAGATAAACCAAATAATTTTTAATATCAACGTATAAAATCTGCGTATACTGCATGTTTCATCGTTATATTTTGCCTTTGACCACAGTATATACAATATGTGAATACATGTATATGTATTGTGCTTGAATGCTGATGTTACGCATAAAAACTTTTATGACATATTAAGTACCGTCGAAGTTGGTGAAGAAATTTCTGTACAAATATATTACACATAACATCAAGCTTTGATGTCCGAATATTTTATATACCAAAGACATTGGGTCAGCCCAGGACTTCATCATAGATAGAGAACTTTGACTGCACATATCAAGCAAAATCGATTGAGTTCTGTTTCTAATTACATAATTTCAAAATAATATAAAGCAAGTATAAAAAACAAAATCAAAATATCGTTGATGACACTCTATCATTGGTTCTTATTTTATATTGGATTTTATTTCATTGCTTACAACTAGGGTTGGATTGGTCCTGATAAGACCGGTCCACATGATCTTCAGTCTTTAGTTTTTGAACCGATCCGGACCGATTCGATTATGTTAGTTTTTTTGTATCTTATGCAAATCATTTTATTCCGCATGATTTTATATGCAAAATGACGATTTTTGAGTGCAAAATTATTAATCGGGAAAAAACTAGCCTTTTTATTTTTTTTATTTACAAATACTCGATGATTTCTCACTAATTATGGATACCTGGCAATTGTCTATTACATACGTATTTGCTCTTTCACAAATATTAAATATTCTGGTAGTTTTATCTTGGTATACTCGCGTCTTTTTTTTCTTCATTTCATAATGTTCAACTTGCATTATAATCAAGATGATACCAACTTCAACTATGACCAAAATGATACCTACTTAGACTATGACAAGATGATACTGACTTAGATCTTCCAGATAACAAAGACACCATCTTGGACCTCTCAGGTAATAATCAGGATAACATTCGCAAAATAATAAAGATTAGAATGATATTAATTATAGTCATCTAGATAATACTGATAATCAGCTTATAGCTGAAGACTCAGCTTCTAATATTCAAAGTTTCCAAGAAGATGCATCAAGTACATTTACTATATCAGTTTCTACTAGATCATGTCCTATTATGTTACATTCACGAAACAAAAAAATACTAGTTTATTTGTATGATAATATTTTGATACTAAAACATCAAGTTATCCTGATCAATCTGTTTGTAAATAGTATAAAGCTGTTTTCACATTTAAAATAACAATCTCAATTTTGCGATATCATTTAAACTTTCATAGCATTATTGCATCAAAATGACATCAAAAAACTCTGCATAATTATCGCAATGATCTCTATACAGAATGTAAGCAACAAAAATAAGATGAATACTGTTACAAGTTTGTTTATTAATCATTAAATTAGCTTACAAACTTGAACTAGATGGGAAGAGAGTATTAAACTAATAAGCAAATATTAAAAGAAAAGAGAGATATCTAAGTTCTATGCTAATTTATATAGAAATTATAATAATTCAAAGATATAATAATAATATGAAAAAGTTGTGAAAGAGTAAAGATCAAAAAGAAGAGAGTTAAAAAATTAATAAAGAGGATTTGAAAGGCTAATTCTTTGTATTTGCATAAAGCTTTCCAGAGCTAAGACAATATAATTAGTAATAACAATAATAAAGAGGGTTTGAAAGGTTAATTCTTTGTACTTGCATAAAGCTTTCCAGAGCTAAGACAATATAATTAGTAATAATAATAATAAAGACTCTTTCACTTTGTTCTTCTCATAAATGAGAAATACCAAAATAACAAAAATCAAAATATTTAATATTTAAAATTAATAATTTTAATAATAATAATTTGTTTAGCACAATATAATCTAAAGTTAATAATCTAATAATAGCAATTTGTTTAGTATAATACAATTTAAAGTTCAAAATTAATAATAGTAATTTGTTTAACACGATATGATATAAAGCTATCAGCATTTTGTTTGGTACAATATGATTCAAAGCTACTTGTATATAAGTTTTAATATATAATAAAAAGTGAGAAAGGTGAGTATTATTTGAAAGAAAATTGTTGTTAATAGAGGATTTTATTTTTTATTTGTAATATATTGAGTTAAAATTCAAATAATATCTTTATTTATATATTTTTTGAAAATATAATTTTGAATAATAATAATTATTTAAGAAGTAAAATAACTAATTGAAAAGATAAGATAAAAATAAAAGGTAAAAAAATAAAATGACTAAAAAATAAAATAAGATAAAATAAGATAAAATAAGATAAATTAAAATAAATTAAGATAAAATAATTATAAAAGATAAAATAAAAAGTAAATTAATAAATAAAATAATAATATATAATAAAAATAAAAAATAAAAAATAAAAAAAAATAAAAAATAAAATGACTAAAAAATAAAATAAGATAAAATAAGGTAAAATAAGATAAATTAAGATAAATTAAGATAAAATAATTATAAAAGATAAAATAAAAGGTAAATTAATAAATAAAATAATAATATATAATATAAATAAAAAATAAAAAAAATAAAATAAAAGATAAAATAATAAAAAGATAAATAATGAAAAAGTAAAATAAAATTATGAAAAGATAAAATAAAAGATAAAATAATAAAAAAATAAATAATAATATCTAATGAGTTATTTTTACTATTTTTAATATTTTTAGAAATTTTTTGTTTTTTGTTATTTTTTGAAGATTATAATTTTTTTTGAATTTGTGAAATTATTGTTATTATTATAATAATACAGCATAAATTAAATAATATATAATATATAATATATAATTATTTATTATAAATAATAACAAATAACAAAAAATGATTTCAAAATTTGATCCAAAATATTATTTTAATAATTGATATATTATTAAAAATCAAATAATAACTTTGTATAAAGAAAAAAAGTATAAGTAAAACTGATTATAAATAATATACCTGAAAAAATAATTTTTATAGTTAATATATAATAGCAATGAATAAAATAATTTTTTTTGTCTTACTATATATTATATTAATATTTTATAAAAATTAAAAAACTTTTTTCTTGATATTATTTTAATATCTGCTTATTATACTGAATTAAATATGATAGATATTATAATAATAGTTCTTCTTAAGTTCAATTTGATTGAAAAAACTTTGATACTAAAAACTAACAATATATTATTAATAATTTTTTGTGATATTTTTATAACAAAGAAACTTGAAAAAAAATTTAATAATCTAAATTTTGCTCATTATCAATGTGTCATTTATATCTTTAATTTTACAATCATTCAAAAAATTAAATTAATAAATAAGTCTGTAGATAAAGTAAAAGCTTTGATAATTTATATTAAGTCTTAACACTTTATAAATGAAGAATGTTTTAAATATCAGTATCAACTGTATAAAGTTGAATGGTCGCGAAGATATAAATATGAGAAAAGAAAGCATGAAAGATCAAATAGATTCCTTTTATAAGTTGCCAATATTGAATATTTTGCAAACGGATCAATTTCTAAAATACGCATAAGATGTTTTTTGTTTCTAATCCAATTAAGTTTTTTAAAAATAAATTCTGATTATTTAAAGCGCACACATAGTCTAATTAATGCAATAATATAGAATAACTTAAAGCTCAGCTACAAACAAATACTCAACAGTAATGGGTGGCAAATATATTCATTCCAAGAAAAATTAAAATATTCAAGGTCGGCGCATGATTCTCCGAGAAGAATTCGTGCATCATGACTTTCATCCCAGAAATATACTGAAAACTGAATGGTCTAGCGAAAATCAAGATATCGACCGTCTAATAAAGAATGCACGAAAATTAGAACACATACCCCATTTAAATAGATCCCTTTGGAGAGATTTACCAATGTTCAATATCTTGCAAAAAGAGAAATTATAAAGCATCGTTGCACTATTATAGTGTTTGAAAATCATGTAGAAAGTAAATTTGAACTATCTGAAAGATACAATTTTGTGTTGAAATCATTATGCGATTCAAATAAAATGGAGAAGTTCTAAAGTATAAGCATGATACCTTTTGTTCTCTAATAGTTTCTTGCTGTTCTAAAGTTCAGTTAGGATGGTGTGGAGTAACCAAAAACCTAGCTACAAACGAATACTCGATAGCATGTATATGATTAAAAGACGAGCTATAACTTTATTACGCCTACTCATATTACGCGTAAAAATTTCACATAAATGGTGTTCAGTTTAATGTCACGATTGTCAAAAATGTAATTACGTACGTAATCCGACTACGAATACATGTATAATACATGTACCCTGTCGCACTAACCTAGTGCCAATATCGGGACTTCTTACTCAATTAACGTTAATACTCAATTTATTATAATCATGGTAATTATTCATTACTAAATAATTTTCCGCATCTATTAAAGCCTAGAAGTTTCAGTATTTTTGACTTTAGATTTTTCAATTGCTTCTTTAATATCATTATCCGAGTCAACATCAAGTTTTTGATCAATAAAGTCGAATTCTTCATTTATAATGAAATATAACTTTATTCTTTATAGAGTGAAAACGAGAATTATTTATATAAAATAAAAGTAACATTATTCTTTATTTGGTTGAAAGTGTTTCATCCCGAATCTGTAGTTTTTCTTGCAAGTCGCTCGATATTTCTTCATTTTCTTTGATTTCATGTGGTATACTAATAAAATCGAAATCTGTTTTGCACCACCAAATCATGAATCAAAGAAATTAATGAAAAAATAATATTAAATAGTGATTTTACCTTGTAGAGCCTAAATATTTTAATTAATATGAAATGTCAATGTGATTGATATTTGGAAAAAAAAATACCTGTGTTAGTTGGAATTGATATTGATTTTGATTTTATGGTAAAGATTCGACCGGTGTAAAACATTGAGTGAATTTGTTATTTTTTTTCGAATTTGTAAGATATCCTAATGTTTGCTTTTCCAGTCTAATACACTCTTAATTTTCAAAGAACCGTAGTCCTGAACATGCAAGTATTAGTCTTCACTTCGTCTGAATAACAGATAGATTGATAAAGTTTCCAAATTCTTTAATAGTTGGTCTGTTTTTGGAATAAAATTCCAACATTTTCAATAATAAACTTGCACAATCTTGAAACATTATTTGGTATCTTAGGTCGACCCATCAAATGGACGTTCACCTGTGGCAACCTCGTATGTAATCATCCAAAAACCATAAGTATCTGCAGCTTTAGTGTACGGCTTTCCATTTAATATCTCTGGACTCATATAAGGAAGTATTCCATAAATTCCTTGATTGTATTTACTTAAATTAGCTCGGCCGGTAAGTCCAAAATCAGCAATACGAGGAACATCGTATAATAATAATATATTTCCAGAGCGAAAGTCACGATGCACAAATCCCTCATTGTGAATTTTATTCAGCCCTCCGATAATATCCTTTAAATGCTTCCCAAGTCAATGTTTCGGGATTGCGTAGATCGCCATCTCGTGCATAAGTCATCACTATTGAATACGTACGTATTCATTTGTAGCTGGATTTGTTATTCCATAATATCAAACGCTAAGAGCACTGACTGCACTTTAAGAGCATCGAATCTAATTTTGAAAAAGTTAATTATATTGAAAAACGAAAAAACAATATGATTACACTTTAAAAGATGCTCATTTTAACTCGTTTGTAAACTCGGATGTAATTTGCTTTAAATTGTGCAATGATTCCAGTACAACTTCACTTTCTCCCCGTCGTTTAAATCTATTCTCCACATGATCCCATATTGTAGTCATTTGTCTGTTCAACCAGCTTTCTTTATAAATTGATCCAAAACTTTCTTTTTCAAGATATTCAGGATCCATTTAAAAAATCTTTTTTCACAAGCGATTTTTGTTGCATTCATTTATTAGACAGTCGATATCTTTACTTCCATTAACCGTTCAGTTTCATAAATTTTGTGATATACATTACACTCATTACAGTAGTTATCATATCGACACTTGATACATTTACTACAATTATGAGTATTCGAAATTTTAGATGCCATCTTTGAGGCAGCGTTTTATTTAAAAAACGATGACTTATACATGTGAAAATCGTTATTCACTTCGGTTTGCGTTTGAACGATGACAAATACGTAAATGAGATGTTCGTTATTATTTTGACAGAAGAGTAACATCGATCTCTATGCATGAAAAATGAGACAGAACGCACAAAAAAGCTTTTTATGACTTCTATTGCTGTGTGTAAATATGTTATAGGCGTAATACGTAAGTCATTTTTTGTGTGAAATTCTTATGCACGTAAATTGAAGTTCTATAACGATAAGAATGGTAATTCGCTTCGTCCAATTTTACGAGACAGTTCTCTATCTATGTTACCGTTTATTTTACCAATTTGTATGAGTTGATAGCGATAGCAAGTAAACGATGACAATGAACCTATTGCTATGTACGGTAATTGATAAAAAGTCATGAAGTGTATAACAATAATAACGATAATGACAAAATCATGCACACTACGTCTACACATGTATAACGATAACTCATTGTGCGGTATACGAAGTTTGATTTTTTTATGTGCGAGTTATAAGATTCCATGTAATTTAAACAGTGTTCCCCAGTAAAAAATTCTGAACCAATTTATCAATAACGATAATATTATAATGATGACTTTGATGTGCTTTAATAACGTGCATTTAAACATATGAAAGTAATACATAATAATAATAAAATAGTTCTTTTTTGTAAATTACAAGACCCTGGGTTAGTGATAGGAATCGATTCTCTAGAATCGAGGAAATCGATTTTTAGAATCGATTAATATTTGAGAATCGATTAAAATTTGTGAAAACAAAAAACTTTACTATTCCAACGAAAAGGGAAAAAATCAACATGCAATGAAAACAAAATCAATGATCAGTTATATCGTCGTTGCTATCGTCGTCTTTATCATCATCGTGCTTGAGAATCGATTTTGGGTTGTGAATACGATTAATCGGGTATATATATAATCGAAATAATTAAAGTTAATCGATTCCTATCTCTACCCCCCCCCCCCCAAGGTATTTTAAGCAGTGAAAATCCTAAACCAGTTTAATAATGCTATAATAATGATAACAACCATAACTTTGATGTGTAATAAACTACGTATGTGTAAAAATTCTGAACCAGTCCATTGATACACTATAATAACGATAACTTCGATGTTCTACATATGCATGTAATAATGAACGAGTCTTGTATTATTTTCACGGATACAATTAGCTTTAAATGATATAAAAATTAGATAGCTCGAAAATTTCCATTTTTTATATGGTTTATCAGATAATCTTGGACCAGGCGTTACTTTTGGGAATACTGTACTTACTGTTACCAGATCGTTGACAAGTCAGCATCTGATAATTTAACACTTTTTTATCATATTATTTAACACATTCAGCAATCCCATAAAAACAATCTAATACTTTTTTCATCATAAAATATAACACAAACCAATTAATACGCAAATAATTAGCAGTTCGTTTAGCAAAACTAGTCCTCGCTGTAACAATCAAGCACTTGTAGACCAAGAACAAGAATGTGTATAAAGAACGGCACTCAGGCCACTAATAAAGGTAGAATTTACAATTATTCTCCAAGTAAATTAAGACTTGAGAAATCCTATATAGTAAACGTTAACATTTTTGATGGTTAGGTCCTTGTTCCAGAAAAGGCATCGTAATGCTAAGTGAAATCGTTATGGTGTATTGAATAGGATCGATCAAAGTAATCAGACGTTAAGAGTTTAAGGCTCCTTCCCAACCCTAACCCTAACGTTGAAATGACCTTTTATATTTTTAAGATATATCATGTGATGGACTACGCTTTAACCATTCTCGTTTTTCGTTTTTTGTCTGATATGAGGGTACCCGACAATATCGCCTATCGCCGGTCGAGCACTACGAACTGTCCCGCTTTCCAAATTAAGATCGATTTGTGGCTTATACGTATCAGAAAATTAATTCGAGAAAAGATGTCTATGTACATATCTCCTAATTAGGAGATCTAGCCAATCAAACGATCTCAGAATGAAGCAAATTTATCATTATTATTTCTCAAAACATTTATTCCTTCTCCAAAACATTTTATTTTTCAAAATGAGCATATGCTTATTAAGTAAGTCTTATAAACAGTAATTCAACTTATTCAAAAACTCTGGTTTCTAAACTGACCCGGTCTTTCTAGATCTTCTCTTATTTCAAGGAACACAACCTGTTGCTATCACGAGTTCTTAAATCTTTACCGCGATAATATCGTCGCTTCGCCTCTAGCTTCAAAATAATGGAATATTCTTGAAGCTATCTGGAATAATCGTTTTTCGGCTGTCGCAAATGAGCTTGATCCAGGCCATTTGAAAGAGGTACAGTTAAACTGTACTGAATATATTCAACTGTCTCGAGAGCCCTTGGTATATTGGACCAATTAACACTGTAATGCTTCTTTAGTTGTGCAAGGCATCGTTAGATAGTCAAGTTGTGACGTAGAGTAAGCTGTTATTTCTTGGCATATTCGTCCTCGTGGACAGGCTTGACCTCGCGAGAAGATTACTATATACACTGGCTCGAGAGTATCAATTGTTGAGTAAAAATTATTTGATTTAGGGAATATAGGAAGACGTTTGCTTGAATATAATCAGTGTCACTAACGAAAATATATTTCTATAGGTGGTGGTGTCTGAATATGCCGAGAACGATTCCCAGACTTACTGGGAGGAAGTAATTGAAGAATGTAATTTGGAAAATAAGAAAGTTTATTATAATATCTAATATTATTTTTAGAAAGAAAAGCTTCATACACTTAAAGTTGATCGGGGGAGAGGCTTCTCGCAACATTAGCTTCCTCAATAAAGAATTAGAAGCAGTCTCCATCAAGCTAAATGATCTTGCTGGAAAATGTTATATTCTCCCGAAAAATCAACAATCTGGACAACAGCAGCAGTAGCAACAGCGGCAACAACAGTGACGAGGCACCAACTACGGCAACCAACGGCGGCGAAGCAACAACCAACGACGAGGCAGCACTAACGGCAAACGTACGATACGACCTTCGTCACCGAAGCATTGTCGTGCGTTTTGTTCGTGAATGCACCGCCGCTACGGCTACCGTGGCAGTGGCAGAAGTTCAGTGCATTGAACGCGTAAGACAACTGTGAAGACGGGATCCACAATATGAACACCAATGCCACCGACAATGTGGACACTGGCATCGAAGACACTAGTAGCAAAACTACGATGGGTATTGATAATTAAAATCACGATTGTCATTAAATTGTTCGACAAAAACCGGATCCTGAACAGTCCATTAATAATAATATAACGATAATAATGATGTGCATTTAAATAAATTATAAAAATCCCAAATATTTTAAGCAATGCGTAATAATACAATACGTATTTTTCTAATTTTAATGATCATTATCAAATTACGTAAATAATAACGATAACTATAAGCGATTGCGATAGTAAAGAATTCCATATATCAGCCATTCTCAATAATTATTTAGTAACGGTAAATGAAGTTATATATAACCCGAAAGTTTTTCTTGTATAACATTAATATATCCACTTCCCTTATGCTTGCAATATAACCGATATGCACACCTCACTTTTTACAGACATATCAGATTTTTTCTATACATGTATTTCCATACCGATATTTTTTACAGATATATGTATATGTCGAAATTTACAGGCGTATTTTTCGTATAGGGATAGCATATGCGTACTGATACGTACTGTACTACGTAAATAAATTTTATGCGTGCATGCATAATGTAGTGTTAATTTCTAAATTTTACTCCACTCCGGTCCAAAGTTATATAATAAAACATATAAAAATGGAAATTTTAAAGTAAAAAAATTTTACCACGCTTTATATATGAAAATTGAAAATTACAAGTTATCTCTCTCTTTTATTAGTAACTATTTCTAAATTTTATATCATTTTAAAGCTAATAAATTGTATTTTTGAAAAATGAACAAAAGAACTGTTTTAATTATAAACAATAATAATTTTAAATCGGCGATCTTTTTTGGGGACTGTACATGTGACACTCTTGCTCCACCCGGAGCTAGAATCTATTTTAAAAATAACCAATGAAATAGTTTCGGTATTAAAAGTCACTATGTTTCCAGCAAAAAAATGAATTCGCTTTTTATTAAGTCAAATGAATTAATAATTCTGGTGGTTTAGAGTATTCCTGACGCAAAATCACTACGTAAACGTCATATTCTGAATAGTGTTAGTTTCGTTATAACAAAAGAGAAAAAGACAACAATTGTAGGACCAAATAAATTCATGATTATTGTTTTCCTCAGTCTGAAAATATATATCGACAAATTATATAATTCGTTAGTAAGTATTATGCAATGAATTTAGTTGATTAATACGTGCTTTTGCAATTTATTGACAAATTTATCTATCAATATGTGTTTTAATTGATTTTAAATCATGCAATTTTATATACAGTCAGACCTCCCTAAGTGCACGTTCTATAAATACACGGATTATATAAATTCTCTCTAAATGCACGGTATTGCTTGGTCCCAGCTTATAAGAACTCTATGCATTTTGCTCTCTATAAATGCACACCCTCTCTTTTTATATTTTTTTCACTATGGTCCCGAAGGGGGTGCACTTAGGGAGGTCTGACTGTATAACATTATTTATTAAAATGTCTCATAAACGTAAAATATCTCGGCATTTGGATTCTTTTATTCAAGATCATGTTAATATTAAATTAATTTCAGACTTAAAAGAATATTGGAATTATATAGAAAATTCAACAGCAATTGGCACTTTATTAGATCCACGTTCAAAAAATAAAACTTTTGTGAATACTGATCGACGTAATAAGACTATAATACCATTGCAAATTATAATGCCATTTTATAAAAATCACACCACTAAGTTAAATGAATAATTTATAATTACGAAACAACAAATGATTTTTTTAATCACTTCTTATAGAGCAAACTGCGAAAGAAATATCTGCTGAAGATGAAATTACTTAATACATTGCAACGCCCATTGACTCCGACTCATATTCCTTAGATTGGTGGCACTATTTTAAGAGAGGTTTTCCAGTTCGTGCAAGTATGGCATCCTGTTATTTAAGTATACAAGATTTAAGTGTACTCTCAGAACAGGCATTTTCTATGACAGCAAATACAATGTAATAATGTGTTTAAAGTTTGGTTCAGCAAGTACATGACAAAATATAAAAGAAATTGGAACTTTTATCTTCATCACAAATTATGAATTTTATTTTATCATAAATAATGAAGTATAAGTATATTATTTATTAATAAAATTATTTTATGTATAGCTTTTTATCGAATCAAATTAAGTACATATGACTTTTATACATACTCTGGGATAAAGCTCCTCGCAAGCCGGCTCGCGAGCCAAACACAGGGGTGACCAATAGATATTTTGGCTTGCGAGCTTTTTTAATATGAAATTGATTAATAAATAAATCAACGCATGGTGTGACAAATAGAAATTTTGGCTTGCAAGCCGGCTCACGAGGAGCTTTACTCTGGAGTATCTAGAGCAGCTATTGGAGCAATACCTGAAACAATGAACTCGGAGTGGGTGAATTAGATTGACCCTTGCTCCACTATAATATGAGCCCAATTCAATTTAATCCGCTTTAACAACCATAGCATAATGAAAGAGCGATTTTTCAATGCTGTTTATATGTAAAAGCTTTTATTCCTTAATTGTGCATAATCAAGGTACAACTTAAAGCATTGTACAGTCTATAACAAAATAATCTACGTATATTGATATATGATAATTTTCTTACATATAGAAATACATGTTTCGATCCTGATATATTTTGAATGTTTAGAGTTCGATATTGAATTAAATTAATTGATTGATTGATTATCTGCCATTCATGTCTATATGCCGCATTTTTTCATATTACGCACAGTATATCAATATGAGACATTTAAAATAAAGTTATTGGTTCATTAATTGTATACAGTTATACTTCTCTAAGTGCATCCTATATAATGCATGCTCTCTCTGAATGCACGCTATGGCTCAGTCCCAAGCTTATAAGTCCTCTAATTATTTACACTATAAATGCACGCCCCTCCTAAATGCACTTTTGTCTATGGTCCCAAGGTGCACTTAGAGAGATGTGACTGTAACTATACTCCTATCGCTATAATAGGAAAATACTGTAAATAAATGGGACACACCTGATTCTCTGACACCTTACCCTGAAAGTAAATTCACCCGACAGTATGTTTATCCGAAAAAAATTAACCGTCACCATTTCTCTGACAAGACTAGTTAACGTTAAATTTTAAGATTACTATATGTAAAATTGTCTCACCAACATTTTTGCTTAGTGCACCAAGCTAGATTAGGTACCTGCTTCCCGTATTTTTCACATTTGTGATGGTACAGATTTCGCTATATATTTTTTAATAAATAATAACGATAATTTACATCAATATTGTCGCGGGTAGGCGTAATCGATTTTCCTGCAACAATGGGTTGGGCGAGTAGACTTATGATATTCGTTAGTTTTTAATCCCTGTGCCGATATCTACAGATATCGTTCAACATAACGGTCGAGAGGGGTTTCAGAAGAGAATTTGGATTGTTCAGGTTTTAGGTATGTGGTTTGGGTTTATATTTTATGTGATGAGGTTTTCTATCGATGTTATTTTAATATTAACTACCAATTGTTGCTTTTCCCTAGCTAAATGCCTTAAACTATTCAACAATAAATCGCTTTCAATCAATCAATATCCTGTTAACGATACAGTTGGACGGCGCAATAAAGTATTATTTTTTTGGCGCGTTAAATCGCTGATTTTGTTCTCTTTTTCTTGTAATTGGCGTTGAGCTTCGTTGAATTGCGCGGACAAATTATCCCGCGCTAATTGGAGTTGGTTTTTTTGGTCCAACAACTCATCACTAGCGAAAAGTAATGGTAGTGATATTTTATAAATTTTACTAATACTAGCATTTTTATAGAAGCAAAATATATAACTAATAATGTGAGATTTCTAGCAAGATAATAACAATTGGTTATTGCGAATTTTAGTTTTTTTTTTAGTTAAAAACGTTCAAGTTACAGAATTTTAGAACATTAAGACACACCAAGTACTGATATTTTAGAGGCATAATGCCTTACTCAGAGGCACTTTAAAGATAATTTGATTTAATTTATTATAAATTATATTAAATATAATAAAAATTGGCCGCCCTTACTTTCGCCGGGGGACTGTATCAATGTACAATCAATGCCTTTTCTGGATCAAAGTCCTAACCAGAATCGATTACAACGATTTTTACAGGTCTAGATTACTTGGAGAGGAATTGTATGCAATTAATTCTCATCCTTTATTGATGTCCTTGAGGACTTTATATACATTTTTTTGATTACATTATTCTAGAACTTAATGTATAACGTTTAAGAGATAATTTATGATATACAAGTAATTAAGAAATAGCGAAATAAGAATAGAATTTGAAATATAACACCGCAGAGATCGATTGTATTGTGACATAGAGTTTGAAATAGAATCTTTGATAGAACAAAGGGGATCAATGAAATGGGCCAGGCGAGCCTAACCAAAAATCGAGAGATCGGTGAAATTAGCTCTAACTGGTAACAATACGTATTAACATTAATATTAGATACCAAATTTGTGAATCTCATACATTTGATGGATTCTAGTGAATGTCACATATAAATTGTATTGTAAATAGTTTGCAGAAAATTTTATTTTTTAAAGAACTTAGAAATTTCAGCTTTTCTCATTTTGATGAATTCCCCATATTATTTTATGAATAATATAAGAAAATTGTAAAATTTAATATGAAATGCCATGATAAAGCTTTGGGAATAATAAGTTTAGGAAATTGAGCCTCACTAATGGTATTAATAAGAAATAAATAGAATTAAAATCTCAGAAAGAGAACATATCAAAAATAAATTAAAGTTCTATGATGAAAATAAGGTAAAGTTCTATAATAATTCAAAAGTTTCCTAAAAACATTTAATTTCCTAAGACTCATTTTGTCACATGGCTTCCATAAATTCTACTTCCCTTCGGCGACATTCTTTTCTTTGTTTGATTATTTTTCCACTCTTTGTTAGTGCGTTTTCTACCTTCTGCTTCGCTTGCAGCTAAAAGAGCCGTTTGCTCGGGAGTTCGTGGAGGTGCATCTATATCAATTAACCAAAATCCAGGTGGAGTAACTGCTCCGTTCCGTTTTAAAGATTTCGATGTATCTGAATCAGTATCTGAGTTTTGACCCGCATCTGATAATCTATAATTGGGATCAGAAGCAACGTTTCTGCCAGTTGAAATTTTGGATTTATAGGTTGAGACTTTAATTTTTGATAATGATGAATCATTATTTAGATAAGATTGTATTGTTTCTTGTGAGTCAGTTTTCGGACGAGTCGTTGGTGGTGTATATGTGTTGATTGTATTATTTTGATTGATGGATGATGATAATGATTCGGAAAATGAAGAATTATCGAGACTTGAGTTTTCTATTGGTAGCGATGTAGTAATAATACTGGTATTGGATTCTTCATCCTCTTTGTTAATGATTGGTGATACAATAAACGACATTGTCAAAGGAAAAAACGCATAACGAACACTTTATAGACCTTATAAATAGTTTTTTTATTTTAATTGCTAAAAACGTAGAACAGACACAACCAATACAATTGACCCGAATACGTACGTATATTCTAGCTTTATAGACGCAGCAGGCCAATTTACGTATGCCATCAGCCGTTTGCCGAAACCGGCCAAACTAATTTGGTATTTGAGATACATGTACGTATTGGTATCGGTATGTAATAGATACATGTAGTACATGTGCATGTGTGACGCTATCGTTATTGTTATTGAGTTTTAAGGATCAGTTCCTAATGCTAACGCTACGTTCTAGTACTTATATCGATATACCGATATTGATGTTACAAACTGGAAACTGATCTAGACTTTCGTGAACTAGGTTCGGATTAACTTACCGGGTAGCATAACGATAAATACATAGAGAAGTGTGTACGTAATCCCTTCCCCCCCCCCCCCCTGGTTTAGCATGTCTGTTCAAAATTTAGAAAATAAAGTTATATTAACTCTTGGATCCGGCTCTAGTGCTGAAGGTAATTTTTTTCTTTTTTATTTTTAAAATGATTTTTTGGTTTATTGATATTTGATTTTCGGGTATTAATAAATCTATATAGTTTATTTATTTGGAGCGACTGTGACTAGTTGGAAAGTCGCCGGTTTGGAAAGATTATTTTTGAGGTTTTTTTTATATTTAATCTTAATGTTGATTGAGTTGCTTCATGAATTCATGATTGATTAATTAATCAATCAAATTTTTCTATATGACATTACATTAAACAATTATAGTAAAAAAGCGATTCTTGATGGAACTAAAGCAATACGTGGTGGAATCCCATTAGGTATTTAGACATTTAATTGCTCAATTCTCACAAAAAAATGAATTAATATGTACACATTCAGTTTTTCCGCAATTTGGAACTGCCAAAAATCCAAACGATGCCACTGCAAAATTACCGCAACATGGTATCGCACGTAGTTCCATATGGGAATTTTTGAGCGCAACAAGTAGTGATAATAAGGATCATAATGACGACGAAGTTACTGCAACATTTGGTATAAATTATCTTATTTGATTTCAAGGTCAATTTTTTGATCAATTAATTTATGATAAATTTAACAATAATAAGGACTAACTGGTTCACAAACACCAAAGAATCTTCGAGAAGCGTGGCCGAAAAAATTTCAATTGATTTATACTGTTTCATTGACCGCTCGTACATTAAAAACGTCGCTAAAAGTGAAAAACGAGGATAATGAAGCATTTAATTTTCATGTTCTTTTCCATACTTATTTCTTGGCTCCGGTAATTAAATTAAATTAAATTAAATTAAATTAAATAAAATTAATTAAATTATTATTCAATTATTGAATTAATCACCTTTTTCAATATTTTTAGGATATTTCAAAAGTCTCAATACTTGGTCTCTCAAATCTCACATACACGGATAAAGTATTGAATGGAGCTCGTGCACTTGAATCTCGCGAGAAAGTAACAATTGATCAAGAGGTGGATCGAATATATGAGAATGTTACGAGTGATGAGATTGTTGTGGATTTGGGGGAAGAGAAAGGCAATCTTAACGTGAAAATATCTAACACTAATCTCCGAGATACAGGTAAATACGTAATACATGTACATTAATTAATTATATGTTTTTTAACCCTTTTTAATTCTTTATTCACTGTTAGTTGTGTGGAATCCATGGATCGATAAATCACGAGGAATGTCTGATTTTGACGATGAAGAATATAAAGTGATGGTTTGTGTCGAAACTGGCACGGTGGCCGATTATATTCTTCTAAGTCCAGGTCAAAATTGGGAAGGAGGTCAGATTTTGTCTGTTGCTATTTAATAAATCCATATTGTTTATTGTTTATTCAAGTGAAAAATTAAAAAATAAAAACGGGGTGAATAAAACAATAGACTTTGGCTCACAGCAAAGATTTCATCATTAACTTGACAATAAATTTATTAATAATTTACATGGATTATGAAGAAAAATAAAAGATGGATAGCTCCTTAATAATTGCTTCGTAACTAGTTCTGTTGTTGCCGTTTCACCCAAATCAATACGTAGCTAGCACTTTCCCATCTACAAGTACTTTATCAACTGCGTGGTAATTAGGAGGTCCTGTTCCGGGAATCCGATATAATGCAGCACTACGAATTGTGGCGATTGTATTTGCCTTGTGTTGACCTGCGGTATCTGGAGCCGACCCCAAATATTTGGGATATATATATCAATATACGACATAACCCAAAGCTAATACAAATCCCATAGATGCTATAGAAATTATTTTTCGAAAATGTAATTTCAAATCGTCTTGAATTTATGAAAAAAATATCTAAAAGTGTTTATTTTAATTTATAAAATAGCGCTATGGCGGGACCCCATATTTAATAGTAGTAGAGACTGAAAATATACAGAATCTTAAAAAATTTTAAGACTCATTACCCATATTCTTTTAAATAAAGGTTTTCGGTAAAGTAATTAAACTAGCAAATTGGTCAGTGCTTAAGATAGGTATCTAATGCTTGTACCAATTTTGACAGAAATTGGTATACAATTCTATCAAAGGTAAGAAGAGGGGTTGGGAGAGTGTGTTCAAATACTAAAATAATTAAACTGAAACAAATAGTATTAATGTTTCCACACATTCTAGTGCTCTTAATACCAAACAAGGATTAAAATGCTAAATTAAAATCAAATAATTTTCAATCAAATCAAAATATTATAATTCAAACAAAATATCAACATATAGTAAAAGACAAATAATTCAATATCAAAAATTAATTTCTCAAAATATCAAATTACAAGATACAGTTTCTTGATTTCATTCAAAATTTACAAAAAACAACTTGAAAAACAAGATTTAAAATTCAATTTATCAAATTATTTTTGTTAAATAACTTAATATCAATGGAAAAAAATGTAAGAATAAATATAATAACAAGATACAATTAGTTAACTTGTTAAAATAAAGATTAAAATTTATTAATTTATTCAAAACATGAGAAAAAGTGTATTGAAACATGTTTATTTATACAAACTTTCCAATACATGTTGATATTATTTATATTATAAAAAATATAATGATATAAAAGATATTTTAAAAGATACAAAAAATATTTTTCTAAATACTAACTATTAAATTAATTTAATATATTATTTATTATTTTTAAAAGATTTTTAATTAATAAATTTTTGTAAATAAATATAATAATATTATAATTTCAAAATTAATATTAGTTTTATTATAAAAAATAATTTCTATAATATATATACTCAATTTCAAGTTAGTTTAGATTAATGTATTATTATAATATAATTAATTATTTAAATATAGCAATAATAATTAATTATCATTATTATTAACTTTAATAATTTATTAAAGTTAATATTAATTAAAATATAATATTAATTATAATAATAATAATAAGAAAAAAATAATAAATATTATATAATAATTAAATATTAAGTTATAAATAAATAATTTTGATAAAATTTAAATAAATATTTAATTATATAATATATATAATTAATACAGAATATAGTGATATAATCAAAAAATAAAATTGGAAAAAATTCTATTTCAAATTAAAAATATTATTATTTCAAACAAAATTTTATTATAAAAATATTATTATAACAAGTACTTACTATAGTTATAATCAAAAATATCTGATTTCCTTAACTTTTTATAGATTATATATAATATATTAAATTTTTCTGAGCACAATATATATTATAAATACTAATTATTGATATTATTTATAGATTAATTAATCTTTATATCAGATATTATATATTTATAAACTTTCATATTATAAATATAATTAGTTATTTTATAATATATATTTTAATATTCAATAATCTAATTTTTAATATTTAGTTATTTAATTTAAACAAAAATATTACTATTTAATTTGATTAATTAAAATAAATTAAAAATAAATTAAATAATAATATTTTTGTTTAAATTAGATTACTAAATATCAAAATATTATATTTTAAAATATCAGTTTTATTTTTGATATTAATTAGCAATTAATTTAGAATATAATATTTTGATTTTTATAATGATCTGATTCAAATAAAAATAATATTATTCAATTTGTTTAGTCAATATAAATTTAATTATTAAAGATCAAAATATTATATATATTCTAAATTAATTGATTTATTTTTTTAGCAATTATTTCTAATAAAAAATTAATTATCAAATATAAATTAGTTATTTTAAAACATAATATCTCAATATCTAGTAGTTAAATTTAAATAAAAATATTATTATTTAATTTGTCTAAATTAGATAAATTAAATAATAATATTTTCACTCAAATTTAATTATTAAATGTTGTGATATTATATTTTAAAATGATTGATTTATTGTATTTGAATATAAAGTATATAAATATATAATATTCAATATAAAAGCTTTATCAATCTATAAAAAAATATTAATAATCAATATTTGTAATATTTTTTGTGCTCAGAAAGATTTGGTGTATTATATATAATTTACAAAAAGTTAGAAAAAATCAAATTTTTTATCATGACTATATATTAATTTTGATTACAAAAATTAACTTTGAAAAAAAATAATATAATTAATTAATAATAAGATAGCTTTCTCTATTTTCATGCATGCATTTATTTTTGTGATTAATTAAATATATTCAAAATATAATTTAGGCATATTTGTATTGTTTTATAATAATTTATAATATAAATAAAATAAAATTTATTTTTATATACTTAATATTTTAAAATTTTATAAAAATATAATTTAAACTACAAAGAATTAATACAAATTTATTACTTGAAAATATAGTTCAAAAACTCAATATATCAATCTATATGAGTTATAAACTTGTTTCTAAAGAATTTAATTATTTTTAACTATATTTTATTCATTATTATTCTTGATCTATTCTGTATTTTCAGTATCAGATTAAAATTCATACTATTTATACTATATATAGGTATAGAATGTGATTCCTAGTATATAAGAAAATTGCAAATAAGCACCAATGTCATCATATAGAAAATAATTTGAGCTTGAGCTAAAAAATGATTCAAGAATTCAATTTCACTAAAATTGAATCTGGTTTTAAGTATTAATATTAAATCAAATATGATAACTCTAAATTTCTAAATATGATATAAATCATATAATCACTAAATTGCATATAATCGATATTAAAGCTCTGTTCGGGTCGGGTCGAGTCGGATTTGAGATCAACTCGAACCGATAATTTCGGGTCTGGTCAGATTCGGATCAGGTTTGATTCAAAAATCGTTGATAACTTTTATTTTTACTAAGACACTTGTATTTTGTTTCTAAGTAGAGTTGTTCGAAATGTAATTGTGTATATGTCCACAAATTCCAATTAATATTGAACGAAAAATAACGCTTTTTAGGCTGACCCCAATCCGATCTGACCCGAAATGTGCGTTCCGGATCGGATCACGGATTGGACCCGACCCGGTTGGAGCACTAATCGATATATTATCGTTAAACATGATTTACACAGATAAATGTCCAGTTTCAAATATATAGTAGTTAATGATATGATAACTGCTAATTCCCAGTAATTGTGATGGAGAAATCCTATCTGATTGAAAGAAACAAATCTGGATCAGTTAATATGTTATAGAAATAATAATCATCTGATTGATGGAATGAAGCAACATCTTATTGCTAGAAAGATGTAATCTACAGAAGGATTCCGTTATCATGTAGCTGTTAAAGTAAATATTGTTATATGTTATAGCTGTGATCAGTTTGTTTATATTGATAGAAGAGTAGGATATGAATTATATCACAATTATAAGATGGAGGAACATTGGCATACAAATTGTACTGGAAATAAATTCTGCAATATTAGCTTCAAAGAATATATGAACTGTGGCTAAGCAATATTATCAAAAGGGTCAAGCATATTCGAGAGATACCGAACGTGTACAATTATACAAAGGAAATTTATCAAAAATTTCATGGCAAAACTTGTTGATCGGAGTTAATATTTTTCTAACCAATTACGATTATCACTAATATAAGCATCAAGTTGACGCATTCTTTATTTTTTTCTGACGGGCTTCTATCTCCTTCTGCAAATCTAGCGGTGTGTCAAATTTTAGCCGAATCGCAAGAGGATCATCCTATGAACTCACCTTTAGCTGTTAATGCATTCTTCACATCATTAGTATATCGGCCAGCAATTTGGACACGTGATCTGAGGGTATGATTTTGCATTACACAGAATTAGATCCGGATTATTAAAAGTTTGACCAATCAAATTTTGACGACTTTCCGATTCATATAGGTATTTAAGTTTACGACCGGTTTATGTAAAGTGATACCAAAATGTCCTCGAAGCACAAACTTTAAGTTGCCAAAAAGAAAACTCAGTGTGTGTTTTATTTTGTTTCGGAATGTTAACATTCCAACCCACCCGCAGGTGTTAAAATGCTGACTAACCCACCTGAAATAAGCAATACCGTTCCTGGTTCGTAATTTTCGTATATGGCTAGTTATACCCTTTTTATTATATTCTAACCTCTTGCATACATCCGAAGAGTCTGATCTCGAAAAATAGATTGAAACCTGAGTTTGAAGAACTCACCTGACCTCAAGGATGAGAAACAATTTACGGTAAATACTAAGTCTGATCCAGCTTGACTGCATTTTTACTAATATATCTTTTGTTTAGTCTTCGCTGGCTCGGATTTCGTTTGGCCTTCCACAATGAACGTCAATAAGCGTCACGAAGTCTTTGATTATATTATTTATCTCAAATGGGATCCAATCGGGGAGGAACTTGCCAGAAATACAATCGGATATCGTCGTCTACTTGAATCTGGTACTCTTGATAAATCAAAAGGAACACACATATTAATAGTTCATGGGGAATTAGTTGAGTACGGTGATAAATCTCTGGAAAAAGAGATCTTGAGGAAAAATATCCAGGATGTTTCTATGTACCTGTTGTTGAACGTTTTGTTGAAATACGCAAATTCTCAACTAATAATGATAATAGAAGAAAAAAGTGGCAGGTTTGTATTATTTACAATTTAATTTATGATAATAAGGTTATTGACAAGTATTATTCGATATCTTGTAATGATATCTGTCAACAACCTAATAATGACATCTTGGGGATTGTTTTTGCCAAGTGTAGTCGCATATTTGTATTCGAAATGTATTAAATGCCGGAGACGAAGCGCAAATGGCAAATAGAGAACAAAACTTCCGAATGGCAATCGATACCGGCGCAACGATGATGTAATTCCGTATTTCGTAAGACAAAAATTGTATAATTCTCAGGATGGTTGGAAGAAACTTCTACTCAAGCTGTTGGATATGGCGATGACGTAAAATTACACAGGTTTCAAGAGATTGGTCCATATGCTTGTGTGATGAGATCAATTGGTACGGCTGGACTAGGACAATAGACCTAATTAACCCATAAGGTGCATTTTTTTTGCTGTTTTTATCAAGAATTTAAAAAATATGCTTTGACTTTTTTTTGAACATATAAAATCAACAAAGTTTTATAATAAAAAAGATTCCTTAGCATGTATTCTATTAGACTCAACTATTTTTTTAAAGGTTTTAAAATATAATGACTGATAAAAGTATGAGAATACTCATTAATTAATAATAATAATTTTTTGAGTATTTTACTATGTAAAGTTAATTTTTTATTAATATAACAATCTTTTATATGATAATTAAACTTGTTTATAATGTTAAATTCTATAATATAACACAAATTTTTTGTTATATTTTAACGAACAGTTCCGTCGCCGAGAACCGGGCAATTTTTTTTTTGTTGGTTAGCTTGGATTTTTTTTTTGAAATCTCCCCAATTTTCAAAAACCAGTTTTAAGTGAAAAAAGCCAAAAAGCCTATCAAAAAAAAAAATTTGCTCCTTTTATGTTAGTCCGCTAAAATATAAATAATCATTTTACAGATTTTAAAAGAAAATCAATTTTTTAAAATTTTTTGTAAATTATTAATAAAAAATTGATCTATAATATTAAGTTTTAACATATAATATTAATGATAAAATATTATTTTTCAGACTTTATTCTAGTTATTTTTAAGTTTTTATAAAGATTTAAATATTTATTCATAAATTATAATAAAACATATAAATTCTTTTTTTTGAATTTATCAAAAAAATAAATTTATATAATAAATTGCTAATAAAACCATGTTTTTCATTAAAAATATATTTTAATTTTTAAATATAATTTATATATAATAATTTATTATCAATTTTAATCAATAAAAATAAAAACATGATTTTATTAGCAATTTATTATACAGTAACAATCAGAAATAATGCAACAATATCAAAATTTATTAATTAAATATAGTAAAATATGAATTTTTCTCTTTATATAAAAGTCTTCAATTTTACTAATAAATATTTTTTATTTTTACATTAAAATATCACATATTTTAACTTAAATTTTTTTCAGATTTTTTAGATTTAATCTGAAAAGAATATATGTGATATTATCTTTATTTTAATGTAAAAATAAAAAATATTTATTAGTAAAATTGAAAATTTTTATATAAAGAGAAAAATCTGCATTTTACTATGTTTAATTAATAAATTTTGATGTTGTTGCATTATTTCTAATTGTCACTGTATAAATTTATTTTTTGTATAAATTCAAAAAAAAGAAATCTGAAAAATAATATTTTATTATTAAAATTATATGTTAAAACTTAATATTATAGACTAATTTTTTATTAATAATTTACAAAAAAATTTAAAAAATTAATTTTTTTCTTCTAAAACCTGTAAAATGATCATTTATATTTTAAAATTTTGGATTATATATGAAATTTAAAGCATATTTTTTACAGTATTAGATGTTATTTGTCTATTATTTTTGCGTTCATCGGATTGCATGTGAGTGAAAATCAGGTGATCAACGATTAGCAATGTAAGTGGTGCGTTACGATAAACCACACTCTGTAAAAAATTTAAACCTTAATTTCACCACAAGGCTATTAATTTAGTAATCAAAATTTTAAGAATTGCACTGTGAATCTTGGTTTCTTTATTTTGTGGAAAAATAATTGGGTTTATTAAAAAAAATTTGGACCAAATTAAGGTTTAAATTTTCTATAGAGGAAGGTGGTTTATGCGGTAAATTACGATAATCTTTTCAATCAATTCTTAATAGAAAATCAATCATAAAAGATGCAAGCTATTTCTCAAAATAAACTTTGTTTTCTGCAGGACTAGTCTAGTTACAGATACGTGAATATTATCGCTATAGAGATAGTAAATTAACGATAATACGTAATAGTGAGATCGATATTTTGCATCGCAAACATGTTTATGGGAATAACGAAGTGGTCACACAAAATCGGCGATTTGGATCAAATGCTGCGAGTTTTAGCCAATATAGTTTTGATAAAGAAGTGAACCATCATCCTTTAGATCTACCTGACATATGTTCTCATTCACCGTGATGTCCTTGAGTTCATAGAACCATCGCTGACGCCGCCGTCTACGATGGAAGTAACTCTCAAGGACATGCATTTGGTACGTCAACTTCTCTCAATATTAATATTTCTCATTTTATCAAAGATTCATTTCAGAGACTATTATTATAGTTATACATTATAAACGAGAAAAAAATCTTTGACTACGACGACCTCTGAAGAAGTTTTTTGTCTTTGGAGTGAATTCATCAGCATTTTCCTATGAATTAATTTATTTTCGTTAAACTTGATTTATTGACGTTTTTTGTATGAGTAAATACCTTGAAAAAATAGTCGATTGGTTTTGGCTCTTTACCAGTTATTTCTTTAAAATCATCGAAGGATTTCCCAGCATCGCGACCATTTTTGGCATAACTCAAGAGATCGAGACTACAAAATTACGAGAATACATGCGTTAGATTAACATCAGAATTGTTCTAACGATAAGAATAATAAAATCGTCATACATTTTTTCAATCTCGAAGCTGTCATAAGGAAGGAATCGTCTTGGGTCATATTCTTCTCGGCTATCAGTACCATCTCTCCCAAACATTTTAAGATATTGAGCAAGTTTTTCATGGCAGACTTGTCTGTACTCGACTTTACCGGTTTTAATGACTTCATTGATCATGATGACCAAATCTTTTGGAGTAAAAGCTTTGGAACCCGTAAGATTATAGATGTTTTTTTGCTCAGTTTCACGGTTTTCTTGTTTTTTTGCGAGATCTTCTATAACGCAGATGATATCCTGAACATCGATTGGAGCGAGTCGTTCGCTTTCAGTGTCAAGTGTCATTTTAAGGACACCCTCTTCTTGGATGTTTTTGGCGAAATCGAGAAAATACTGATGAGCCCAATTTACTCTGTGATTTGATCAAATAAGTTTCTTTATTAACTTGCCAAGTACAAAAAAATAAATTATTTTAGTTTACCTTATAATTTTGCAACTTTGAAATTCCTTCTCCCACACTTTTTCAATATTATGCGCGCTACGATGCGTTTCTGTTAGCTCTTCGTCCGCTCCAATAAACGAAAATAGAATCACATTCGAAACCTGTTGAGATTTAGCAGCCTGTTTCACAATAAAAGACGCCAAATTTTAGAACGTATATAAAATACGAAAAAAAAAGACGAAACATACTTTAACCAAATCCTCTGCGAAACGAACACAATTCTTATCGTCTTCAGCTACATATACTAATGTATTTACACCTTGAACCGCTTGCTCCAACGACTCTTTTTTCTTGTAATTTGTTTCTCTGATCTTTGCGCCTTCCTTTTCTAATTTTTTTACGTTTGAAGATCGAGGATCGCGAGTAAGGGCAATAATTTCCGTCTCTTTGTCATTATCGTTATTTTCGCGTTTTAGAAGACCATGGCCAATGGAGTTGCCTACCCAACGATCGGTGGCGCTCACAGCAATAACATGTTTGGGTTTTTCGTCTTGGACTTTGCTGCTCATGCTTGTGTATCCTTTTGTTAGGGATTTTAATTTATTATATAACCAGGTTTTATATTAATGATCAAAAAATGTTTTTCGTAAGGCAATAATCGTAAGAAATTCACCACATTGCTTATGAATCTCGCAATTGTTGATGGATTATTATTCTCCCATTATGACATAGTATAAATTTAAACTAATTATTCCCACCATTAAACATCGTTACAAAATAGCTTAATAATAATCATTTTACACTTAGTTATACAAATGTAGTTGAGAATTATCGTTATACATGTACACTGAACCTACGATAAATCACCATGCATATGATGCATAAAATCTAACGTCATCAAACGTTTGTATTTTATAACATGTATAAACGTCTTTACTAAGAAGTAAATACAAAATTTAGTGAATATCCTCAGAAAAGGCCTATTCTATCATATTCACGGATTGAATTTTGTATTTACTTCTTAGTAAATAAGTTTATACATTTTATAAAATGCAAACGTTTGATGACTTTAGATTTTATGCACTATATCGATATCGATATGAACTATTCTTTATCGAGTTATTTTTTACATTGCTCTTTTGTTCCGATTTTACGTTCTATATTTGGTGTATCATATTGACAGCAATGATTCAGTTATTGCTTCTACTCTCGCTATTCCAAAGCAACAGTACGTAATACAATTAATCAATTTAAGAAAAACAGGTTCTTCACATCCTGTAAACGTACTGGACGACCAAATATTTCATCAGAACGCGATCAAAGAAGTTTAAAGCGTATTGTAAAAAAAGATCGCAAAGCAGCGCTCATTAAAATTACCAATCAACTAAATGCATACATTAATAGCTAAATTCACTTTAATACCATTCGTAAGCATATGAAATTTAAATCTCACTATGCAAGTCATAACCTCTTTCTAACTACTCGACGTAAAAAGAAAGCGTTTACAATGGTGGTGGTGCAAAGAAAAGAAAAACTAATGATGAGCGGCACCAAACCGTATCGGTATGGTCTGATGGGTCACGATTTTTCCTTTTCCATTCAACAGTGGGATGTGGTTGGATCGTTGGTAGAAGTTAATGACAATCTCGATTCTGACGGTTATATTAATATTCTTTCCAAATATTTGGTTCCTTGGATGAATAATAATTCTTATACAATTTTTTAGCAAGATGTGCTTCCGGTCATATTATAGTCGCCCAAAGTCCCGATTTAAATCCAATTGAGCATACCGATACTGTATATGGGATCATTTATATCGCCAAAAAGGAATTAATATTAATTAATGCATTGAAGGCAAAAAGTGCCTTTGGATATTGTACGCAATTTAATTCCAGTATGCCGCGACGAGTTGCAGCTGTTATTAAAATTTAAGGATCTATTCATATATTTCTTAAATATTGTTATTTATTAAGTAAAAGTAAACTTTAATTTAAATATTGATATACTTTTTAAAATCGAAAATTTTGCTAATAATGCACGGTGATTTATATACTATCGCTATTATTATTACATTAGTATTATATTATTATACAAAAAGTTATCTTGCATCACTGATTATTTTTTACGATACGCTGCAACGTACCAGCCAACAAAGCAATCTGTGTTTTATGACTCTCCAACTGTTGAAGCACTGCTTCAATCTCTGAATTCACATCCATCGCATGGCTGCTAACTCCACTAATATCCGATCTGGCGGGAGAATAGCCTCTTGATATTGACGTATCAGTGCCGACGCTTAGACGACCTCTTAATTCAGAATTATCCATCGATTTATTATAATAATTGTCGCTATTACCGCTGTTCTTGTTTTTATCCACGTCAGAACTCGGTTGAAGGGTTTGAATGAATGGCTCTTGATCTTCTTCGGGTTTATGATGTACTTGATAGTAAATGTACCGCGGTTTTTCTTGTTTACTCCAATACGTCCAAAGTGCCGCAATATTCCCATAATCGACAGTAAATTGAGCTCGTGTCTGCATTCTTGCATAGTGTTTAGATTCGCGATTATTTTCGGTACTTACGACATCACTTTAATTGCGAAAATAAACTATTGATTAATATATTTATAAGATTAGAGAAATAAGTAAATAAATTAGTATACCTCATTAATGCAATCAGCATATTCTGCATAATCGTGACCAAGATTATACTCGCTAATATAACAATTATATGAATAGGGACAAAGTCCCAGCGTAGCAGTACATCATATTGTCCTAAAATCCAACTATATGCGCCTTCAATCGATGAATAGGCATTGAAGAATCGATTATCGGTTACGTCGTAAGAATCAAAATCTTCGTTAATTTTGAGAATGGTGGTGCCGTTTGATGTAATGTTGTAATTCTGTAAGATGGGCGTTAATCCAAGATCAGGTATAAAACGTAAAATCATGTACCTTTTGAATTGAATAAACATACATTGATCAATATGTTGTTTTTATGAATTATTAAATAAGATGATCAATTTACATTGCAATGCCGTAACCCGTAATCACAAATGTTTGTGAAGCCAAAAAAAGCCACAGTTTCACAACTATTTGACAAAGGATGAGTATATATTCGCCGATGCCTATTAAAATATCTCATACATTAGCATAGAATAAACAATTAAATATTAAGTCCATAAATGAATCTTAAAATTACTCACGAGGTAGAAAACGCATTCGCAAAAACTAAAAAAAATCAATATATACGTGTTAATAACAATCGAGTATGTTATGTATATTAGGAGGAAATTCTTACCAAATGACTCCAAACACCAAGACAAGCAAATGCGATAATCGAAACTTGCCCTCTACAAATGTCAAATCGAGTCGAACAATAACTTGTATGCCCTGCAAGACCTTGTGTCGAGACTTGAAAATAAACGACTACAACGATTAAATCAACAAAGAAGCACAATGCGATCACAGCCGATTCGAACCAGAAGCATATAGCGAGCCATGGAGGACCTCGATGAAATTGCATTCTTTGTATTTGAATAAACAGCCAAAGTCCCGAAGTATAAGTGGTAATTATCCATCCAGGTAAATAAAACCCACTATGATTGTTGTAGACGATGAATTCCAAATGTAAATGACATAGCCAAACGAAAAACACAGAGAAAACTATTGAAAATCCAAATGCTAGCCAAGTACTAAGTTTTCCTGATTGTTCCCATGTGTAATTAATGACAGCCTCGATCGCTGGATTTTTGAATATTTTACCAGTTGGATCGAGTAAAATTAATTTTGAAAATGGACTTCGATGTTGAATTGCGTTGCCTAAAGTGAGTGCTCCATACAAAATGTTGGCTTTTGGAGATACAGTTATATTTGGTAATGGTACCATTCGATAAAAGGGAACTTTAAGATCATCATCTAAATGTGAATGTCTTTTTAGTTTTTTCTCTGATTTTGCAGTGGTTAGATATAAATTCGGTACGAAAGTAAAAGCTTTCTTTCCCGCAGCCTGAATTGCTAATTGATGATTATGCCAAGGGTCAAGAGAAATCTCTTTTGCAGAGATAAATGATTTTCTATCAAAAAACTTATGAGCAAACCCTAAAAGTAATTTTGAATTATTAATCATTGTCATTACTTAAACTTTAGAGATAGAAAGAATTGCTTACGTGGATATTTTTCGAATATTGTTGGTAATTCTTGAGTGACAGTAAACATCCAACCAGCATTTTTTGCTGTGTTTCTTTTATAATAATTTAATAAATGTTCGACGATCTCCGGGTGGCCAGTTTTTATTGCTAGTGTCAATTCGCTCTCTTTCCTTGGTAGTTGAAATCCATGAGCTTGTAAAAAAGTAAGTTTTTTATCTCTTACATCAAGTTGAGGTATATGAAGATTTCTTGGATTTTCGTGTTCGTCCCGTGAATCCAATATATCCATTATTTGATCAGCACATCGTGCTTCGACCAAAGCAGCTACTATGTGATACTTTGAATCAAGTAAACGAAACTGATTTGGAGATCTTTCGGCAAATTCAAATATTATTGTTGCAACCTTTCCGATTATTTTTCCAATTTTATTGCAACGATCACCATCTTTCGCTAGTTTACGTTGCTGTTGCAAAAACACCAGAGCATCCGCAGCATCTTGTATATACGTGGAAGTCGGTTGTTCCCAAATTGTGTCTTCAACGTGTTCAATAACGTCGTCTGATTTTTCGCCTAGTATTCCGTCAAATGGTCCTTCTTCTTTTTCAGTTATCGCGGTAAATTTTGTTTCTTTCGCCCAAGCCCTCAAAATTGCAGAACTCGTAGCCTTTTCAAGCTCTTTTGGGATTCGCCAGATATATAAAAGTCGTTCTTTATCATCGCTGTCTTTTTTCCAGATTTGTATCGTTTGCATTCCGACTACAAGTTGATGTCCATGGAAAAGTTGCTTTACATGTCTGACGACTTGAGATTTAGGTCGGAACCAAGGTTCGTATGAATGCAGATCATGCGTTTTTTTATCGTCAAGCATTATATTTATACTTTCATCGAATTCAGCAATTCTTGGTTCAGTTTTTGGCATCATAATTTCTTCCAATAGTACAACTTGTTTATCATTTGTGAAGGCAACAATTTGATCTTGAAATTGTACAAACGGTTGTTTGTAAGGATGAGTCGCCCATTTCACCTTGCTTGTCTTAACATTGGATTCTTGAATGTAAGATAAAGAAGAGGTAAAAAGGTCCCAGAAAAAGAACCTATACATGTTATTTTGTTCTACCAGAATGAAAAGTTTTGTATCTTTTTCACAGAATCCAATAAATCTGATTAAATTGCCCTCCTCTTTGGTCAATTCGTCGATTCTTTCTACTGCTATTTCTAAAGTATTTTCTAAAAGATAAATTACGATCGTGTTATTGTCTACGGAAACGGCAAAATACTTATCATCAGATGAACGAGCAAATATAGGAATTCCAACACTTGCATTTCGATTATAATCTGGACTGTTACATGAAAACTTGAATCGTCCTTTAACTAGGCTAAATACTTCAATGTTATTTCGGCTATCAATTGAATTCAAGAATTTTTGATGGATACAATTGTCCAAAAAGGCACAAAATGAATTCCCTTCAAGATTATCTAATAAAGATTCCATTGGTCGCGGAAAAAGATATATTTGTGCCACGTCTCTTTGTTTCACTTCAAGCGGCGTAGTTTCATCACAATGATCCTCTTGTACTTCACACAATATCGCTCGGAGTTCATTAACCGATCCGATACAGAAACCTTGTCGTCCCATGATTATTAATTTTTCTGCGAATGCGAGTTCTGATCCGGTTACAAATTTAACCACGCCTCCATAGTTAATGAAAAAAAATTCTTTTAATCGTTTTCGTTGGCATATGAGAATAACGGTCGAGTCATGTGTCATATCTTTTAATTGCGTCTTTAGTCTTTCTTCGCCATATTGTGAATGTGTGGGTAAAATTTGATCAATAGTTTTTTTGCGATCACCTGCGTTACGAGATGTCTCTAGACATGATAATGCTACGCTAAAGTTTCCAGTTTCATCGAAATCGGAAATTGCTATTGACCATCGATCCAAGCCATCAGATGGGTAACATATAGGAGTCGGCACACCATCAAATGAAAATAATTCATGATACGCTTTCCAATTTGCTTCGATACGACGTATATTGAATGATCTCGTCTCTTTAAGAAAATCATAGATTAGTTCAATAGATAACGATATAGACGATTAACCAGTTAAGAATTAAAAACTCACTAATATCTAATACAGCAAGAGCTTTTCCGCTGCTATTCATTGCCATATATTGAAAATCTGTTTCCAATTTTTTCTTATCTAAAGCATTTATTAACCTTTCAGAGGCAGGCATTGGTGGAGAAGCAGTGTCTGCCATCGTTTATGATAATCTTAACGTCACAAGTTATTTTACTTAATGTCTATTGATGTGGTAATAAATTATGTTAGAATGGACAAAAACACTGCAAGATAGAAGCCAAATTAAAAATACACAACTAAAATTTTGCGTTTCTGTAAATATATACCTAATTTTTCCTGTTACTCCCGAGCGGCACTGCATTCACATGTACATGTACATATATTTTGATAATCCGCAATTCTGTTGTGCGGTGTAACTATTGAACAGGAATAGAAATTACACTGAGGCTTTTACTTTTCTTTATCATTGCTTTTTTTTAATAAGCAAGACATCACAGGACAAGATTACAGTATCGGTATTGTTATTTTCCCTAATCACACAATAAATACAATAACGATAAATGCAAGGGGGCAAAGTTGTTATTTAATGTAAAATGAGACCAACACGCATGCAAGATGTTACGTACTTATACTACGTGTACATGTACTTATATCACTCATTCAATGAAAGAACTTTATTTAGGCTATACAGAGATGTTTTTTTTCCTTTACGGGTATAGATTAAAAAATGAGAATTCTTCGACTCGCCATTCTGAATGAATCAAATGACGTCATTTACGCGCTTAAAAATTCTACATTTCGGGATCGGATACTGTTAATTTCTGATCCCAATACTTTATCGTTATAAGTTTGTTTTACTAATCTGTATTCTAATACAGCTAGCGTATCGTATCATTCGTTATTTCGATCTCAGTATACGTAATTACTAATATAAGCACCACTTTTGGGGGCTCTAAAAAACAGTGTGGTGCTTATTTCCGTACATATAATTTTACATAGTATCGAAGGATCATTTTGCTGGCAAAAATCCCATATACATGTATGTGTGATTTAAATTTAATAGTATTTATTCACGGTTTTACTATTTTTTTAATTGGTGTTTATTTAATTTTGCAAGATGACTTGGTCTAATCTTAAATTTCTCATATCATTAAAGGAAAAGTTGATCGTGTGATTTTATCTCATTGTTTAACGTGCGACAGGAAATAACAATGTTTGACCTATCGCTATCATCAAACAAAGGTTCTTATAACGATAACAATGCGAATTATCAATTAATGCAATAAGAATTCCACTTCAAATAAATACCAAAAAAAAAACAATAAAATGAGTTATGGAACATTTGATCAAGTAAAAAAACCAACAGTTGTCATTTTGAATGAACCAGAGGATGACGATTCGATAAACATAATCGCCGAGCAAATTCCTCATACTAAAACGCCAAATTCACCACCACGTTCTGAAAGTCGTCAAAATATATTTCGAAGAATTTTTAATGACGTGACTTGGATTATTTGTAAGTTTGGAATAATTGTCTGTAGAATCTTTGTGAATTTTATTCATCTTTATTTTTATGTATTTGGCAGGGATATTGGCGCGAGCAATTTATTTTGCGTTTGTAGTTTTTCTTATGTTTCTAAATTTTACTTTTTTGATCATGTTCATATTGTTACTTCTTTACAGTTTCTTGAAAAGGCTTTTATTATAGATTACATGTACATGTATTTACAGGCAGAGCACCAATTACATGTAGTTGGCGAATTTTAGCGTTAGCGTTAGGAATTAAAAAAATTATTATTAATTTTTTCTGCCTCTAATCAAAAAAAAAAGAATTTGATTCATGAACTGCGGTCAAACTTCTTTACTAAGAAGTAAACACCAAATTTAATCCGTGAATAAGGCCTATTCTATCATATTCACGGATTAAATTTTGTATTTACTGTTACTTATTGAATTTATAAAATACAATTTATTAATGTTATTGTTATGCACCATATAATCGCTGAGCAAAATTCCATATCGATCGTAACGGTAACGGTAATGCGAAACATCAATTTCGGAGTCGTCAACAGATAAATTACATGTACTGTATTTTTATTAAATTTTCGTATTTACGCAAAAAAAGAACAACTAAATCTGGTGGATCTGGTACGACATCTCGAAAACCATAATCCCGATAAGCCATAAACCCGACAAACGAAATACCGAAAGCACGAATGAACAGCATACCGAAAGCACGAAAACCCGAATGAACAGCATACCGAATGCACGAAAGCCCGAATGAGCAGCATACTGAATGCACAGTATACCGAAAGCACGAAATCCCGAATGAACAGCATACCAAAAGCACGAAAGCACGAAAGCCCGAATGAACAGCATACCGAAAGCACGAAATCCCGAATGCATGAAATCTCGATATTTAAAATCTTAATATGTCACTTCATTAATTCATTGATATATCTGGTATTTCGTCCATTCGAGATGCCCTGCATTCGGGATTTCGTGCATTCGGGATGCCGTGCATTCGGTATGCCGTGCATTTCGGGATTTCATATATTCTGCTTTCAGTATATCGTGCATTTGGTATGCTGCACTTTCGTGATTTTGTTTTTCGGGCTTATGGGTCGGGATGTTGAACGTTATCGGACTGTGGGACTGTGTGAGGAAATTGGTCAACAAAATAGTCGAAATTTGAATGAAAAATCGGGGAAAAATGACAACAGTAACATAGCTTCCACTGAAAACTTCCATACTCTAATAAAAGACAAGTGGTAATTCACTGATAATTATTTAGTTTCTTTCCCCCGTATTTTTAGTACATTAATCTTCTACATATATACGTATAATGTCTCGAATCACCAATTACATGTACGTATTTCTGCCCTTGCTATATATGTATATGCATTAGTGGTACGAATCAGTCATTTTTTTGCTAATCGATTATTCAGTCATTCATAACGATAATCAAATAAAATCGATTTGATCCGGTTAAGTAAGGATGATCCGGTTAATTAATCGATCCACATTACTAGCATTGAACTGATTATTAATTACTTGATGTATGATCACATGTAAGTAATGCATTCTAAGATAATAATTGAATTAAATTTTTTAAATATTGTTTAAAAAATATTAATTTTATTTTTTGGATAAAAATTAACTAAAAATTTATTCTTCAGGTGAAAAGATATCAATAATATTCATATTTCTTTTTAAGAATACCATATTATGAAGAAGATTAGGACCTAAACACATACAATGAATAGAGATATGATTTCCAGCATCTGAAAAGTCATTCACTTGAAACAAAAGTTGCTGGAATATTGTCATGATATGACTTTTGACAAACAATCTTATTGGATAAGATTTATATTAATTATTATTGGATTATATATATTAGTATTTCTATTGGATAG